TGTGTAAGTTCTCTGCCTTTCCTAGGACTTTATCACATGGGAACAATATATAACATATAGGGTTGCCATAATTCTCTTCCACAAAACCAAGACAAAATGTAGGGGGGAAATGTAGGACAAAGTGTAGGATATTCAAGAAAAATGGAGGACATGACCAACTAAAAGCCAAAAACATTATTTTTTAAAAAGAAAAACATTGATATAAATGCATGTTTCTTGGTCATGCTCAAAATGCAGGACAGAAGATTGAGATGTAGCTTTGTGTGGTTTACTCTGGTGGCACAGTGGTTAAATGCCTCTCACTCACACTCCACAAAGTTGTGAGTTCAATACCAGCCAAGGGCCCAGGCTCGATTCTTCCTAGCATCCTTCTCAGGTCATTAAAATGAGTACCCAGCTTATGGGGGGCAATTCGCTTACAGTTGTAAACTGCTTAGAGCAGGGGCCGGCAACCTATGGCCCGCAAGCCAGTTCCAGCCCAGGGCCCCACGCTTACCAGCCCAGGCGGACCCCTGCCACCACCGCTGCCTGCCACTGCCGCCGTGCACTTTGGTCGCCATGCAGCTGTGCGCACTGTGACATGCACGGAGGCGGTTGTGGCAGCGCGCGCAGCGGTGGCGGTGGCAAGCGTGCGCACCGCCATTCGCCCCCGGCCCAGCGGAAGGGACGACTTCGGGGGACCGGCCCCCGGCTCAAAAAGGTTGCCTACCCCTGGCTTAGAGACTGCATAGTGTGGTATGAAATGGTATATAAATGAAGCTGCTATTGCTATTGCTTGTGTGTTGGACTAGAACTCTGGAGACCAGGGTTCGATTCCCTGTCCATTGGGTGACCTTGGGCAAGTCACACTGTCTCAGACAGGCCATGGCAAACCCTCTGTGCCCTCCTTTGTAAATTTATTACCTGGCAAAGAAGGACAATGAAGATGATAAGAGGGATGGAGAACCAAAGCTGTGAGGAAAGCTTGGAGGAGCTGGGCATGTTCCGCCTGGATTTTCCTGGAGCTCAGCTGGCCAGCTGAAGCCCGCGCGGCTGTGAGAGGAAGGCTTTCCCACCCTGGATGTCTCTGGGGGCAGGGCTTGCTTGGCTGACCCATGCAGCTGTGCCAGGGAGGCCTCGCCCTGGATGTCTTTGGGGCTTGCTTGGCCAGCTGGCCAAGGCCCTGCGGTGCTGCACCAGGATCAGGGCACATAATTCCAAAGCCAGGCATGACATACCAAAGACCCTTAAAAACCAGGAATGTCTCAGCAAAAATCGGGATATGGCAACCCTACATATGTACCTCCATTCTGATAATGATTAAAATAGCCGCAACCCACAAAGGCGTTCAACACACAAATTATTTCCACACGCAAGACACAAGAAAGCATTAGAAGTTCATTACCAAAGTGAAAAAGAGGGTAGAACACACATTTGGTTTTCACACAGATGCATATAAATCCCGATAATGGCTTGGGAATCGCTTTCTTTGCCCATACGCGCAGAAGAAGTAGCTGCGTCACCAGAAATCACTGAGAGAAATACATTTTATTTACACAATTTTCTTTATAAAAATATACTGTACTGACCCTTACTTTCCAAGAAATGGTACCCAACCTAAGTAAAAAGAACAAAACATTACCCAAAGAAGTAGGAAAGGTAGAAAAACAGCATAAAAGGCTACATCCCTAGGCCATCACTGTCCCTGCCTTCCCTGAGTGGCGGTTCCTTTAACAGCCCCAGCTAATGGGGAAGGGACATTCACAGACTAGGGAGAAGCAAGATTTTTCTCTGTGTCCATGCCTTTGCTTCAGCAACTGTTCCTGGCTACATCCCCCAAAGAAGCATGGAAAATCTAGCAACAAGTATGGAAACAGTGGGAATCCCATAAATGGCTTTCATACTAGAGCAATTGCACACACAAAAAGGAATTTGTGAATGAAACAGAAATTAATTTATGGTATTTTCCTGAAACCACCTATTTGCTGGTTCATGTCACTTTCCTGTCAGATTCCAAGCGGTTTGCACACACCATCATGTGAAAACCATTTGTACAATTGAGCCTAATATGCTGGATAACCGTAGGTTCTGACCCGTTTAAACTTTCAATTTTCCGTGTGATAAACTCGCTAGCATTATTTTTTTTTTCTAGTGATCCGTGCTTTCTCATGATGTGGCCAAAGTACGATCATCTCATCTTGATCATCTTCGCTTCCAAGGAGAGCCCTGGTCTGATCTGTTCAAGAACCCATTTGTTTGTCTTCTTGGCAGTCCATGGTATCCTAAGTACTCTTCTCCAGCACCACATTTCAAAGGAGTTGATTTTCTTTCTCTCTGCTTCCTTCACTGTCCAGGTCTTGCATCCATACATGGTAGCTGGGAATGCATGGCCTGAAAGATTCTGACGTTAGTACTCAGTTGTAGGTCTTTGCTCTTCAGCATCTTTTCCAGTTCTTCATAGCTGCCCTTCCCTTTCCTAGGACTCTATCACATGAGACAGATCCCATGCAGAAACTGAATTTAAAATGGAAAAACCCCGCAAAAGCAGGTAGATTTTCAGATGATGTTGGGGGTTAACCTGAAAAGAAAATAGACAAAACCCACGAAAGTGGGTTGATTTTCACACAACGTTAGTGCTAATGAGCATTAACACAATATTAATCTGAACAGAAACTAGACAAAACGCACTCCTTTTTACTTTCAGAAAATCCCAAAAGTAAAAAGGAGCAGTTTTGTCTAGTTTCCGTTCAGGTTAATGTCACACTAATCCCGTTGTGTCTGAAAAACAACCCCCTTTTGCAGGGGTTTTCTGGCTTTTAAATCCCATTACTGCGTGGGATTTCTGCAGTTTGCCCCCATGTGCCCCTTCTTATTATTTTTTGACTATAGTCTCCATTCTGATCAATGTTTGATCCTAGATATGGGAATTCTTTGACTATTTCAATTTCCTTGTTGTCTAGAATGGGTTTGTGTATTTCTTCTGTGGTCATTATTTTTGTTATGTTCAGCATCAGACCTGTCTTAGCACTTTCATCTTTGACTTTTCTTATTAACTATTCTAATTCCTTAATGTCTTCTGCTAATGTTATGGTGTCATCTGCATATTTTAGGTTGTTAATGTTATTTCCTCCTATCTTAACTCCTTTTTCTGATTCTAATTCTGCTTTTCTTATTATGCTTTCAGCACATAGAATCCTTAGTAATGTGTTTTTGCACTAATGTTACTCATAAATCGTAATTCCCATCTACCACTGAATGTCATGCTAAGAGTTGTGACATAAACTGGGAAGTGGAATGGAAACCATGGGTGGTATTATGGGAAGATATTAGTAACACTTGAAATTGGTTACACCTGTTCAAAGAAAACAAAATAAGATAGAATCTGGTTTAGCCGGATTTATATATGGAAAAACATGTATGTAGGTGATGTATTATATTTCAATGTTTAACTTTAATTTTATGCCTAATAGAGTGTAATGACTCATTTGTACTGTAGAGTTCAGTAAATAATGCATCTAAAAACAAAGAAAGTAGTGAATATGACTGTAATAGAAAAGGAGAAAAGGAAGATATTTAAATGAGTAAATTAGTAAAGAGGAGGATTCGAGAAGGTTTAAAATACTGATACTATATAAATATTATTTGAAAATAAATGACATCACCCAGAAAGCAGAATATTAACTCATCAGAGAAACAGAAAGACCCTTTGTCAGAAGATGACAGAATGGAAGTCATCCGAGTACAGATGTGCAAAATTTGTTTTGACACAACAAATAAATAATAATAATAATAATAATAATAATAATACATTTTTATTTATATTTCCCGCCTCTCCCCCTATGGATCAAGGCGGGATTACACAATTAAATGAATACAATATGCAAAATACAAACAATAAAATAGTGAAATCAAACATCAGTAATAGATTATAAGAGCATAGAATATAATAGAATAAAATAAATAAAAATAGAATAAAATAAAATAGCCAATCATCGTCAGAATCTAGAAATCTTGAAGATCAGATGGATAGGCCATCCAGAAGAGCTCTGTCTTAAGTGCCTCCTTAAAGGCATCTAGTGTAGTAATAAGATGAATCTCTTCCAGTAGGCCATTCCATAACATGGGAGCTGCAGCCATGTACGATCTTTGGGAAGTCGTATTGAGTTTGGTTCTATGATGTTCTGATAAGTTCTTTCCAGATGTTCTGAGAGTGCGGGGCGGATTGTGTGGGGAGAGGCGTTCCTTCAAGTATCTCGGGCTCAAGCCATGTAGGGCTTTAAAGGTAATAACTAACACTTTGTACTGCACCCAGAAGCGGTGAAGAGTTTTTAATATAGGTGTTATATGGTCTGATCTAGATGTTCCAGTGATCTGGCTGCCGCATTTTGAACCAACTGAAGCTTCCAAACTTGGTACA